ATTTTGCTTTAAGATTTCTAGAAATCCAAACAAACCATATCAACCTAAATCTCTCTCATTCACATGACAATTGAGCTCGGTTAATCAAAGTATTTTACTATGCAAGACACCTGCAAAGTTGATTGAGTTACATTTCTACTTGAGATTACTGCCCAAAAGAGAATTCTTATGCTTTAAGCGTCTTTTTAGATGTTTGTCACTATTTTAATAATAGTTTCAAATGTCCCAAGGAATGCGATAATGAGTTTGATCATAAATAAGTACTCTTTTAACCACTGCCAATTATCAAAAAACCCCATAAATTTTACAGGTGAAATGTTCAAAATTAATAAACATAAACAAGTACATTTTTTAAAAAGGAAAAAGTCTTTTTAAAGCTAGGACTGTGACAGTCTTCAAACAGAAATTAGGGACTAACGTGTTCGACAAAATTCTTACTGATTTGGAAGGTTGTGTGTGGCTGTGTGTGGCTCTGTGCACACACATAGTGTATAAATAACAGGCAGCACCATAAGTGGAGTTTTTCATAACCCCGATTACAGTGTACTGATATGTTAAAAACTGAACTGAATGACAATTATAAGGCAATCTGCATGCATTTTCTTAGTGTTCATACCAGAAAAAGGAAACCGTCACCCACTTGTAAAAGGCTGGTAACATTTTGACACTTCCTGACTAACTCTACAACTCATTCAGGCCTAACAAAACCTGGCTAAAATTAGGAAAATAAATACTTTTCTAGAAAAAATTATAACTCAAGCATGTCATACATCTATGTACAGTGAGAAAAAACTATTACAGGATCCCATATAAATTTTCAGTAATAGAAATTAAATCAGTCTTTGAAAATGAAAAATTGCACCATCTCAATAGCGTTTAATTATCCTTCTAAAGTCACTTTGTAGTATTATACAACATAAGAATTGTCTGATTTATAGTGCAGACAGTCCAGCCTGAAAATTGGAAACTAATGTGAATGAAAGAGGTGACAGAAATATCTCGTGCTTGGTCTCCTGCAGGGCTTACAGAGGTCACACAGAAGTGCTGAGTCTGGTTAGGGAACTACATTTATTTATGCCAAAATTGCTTGGCTCAAATAAGTCACTTGAATATATATACATATATATAAATATAATGAGACTGTTTCCTTCAGAATGTGAGCCTGTCTTAGAAAATTGTGACACTGACATACTCAGACAGTAAAGATTGATTACACTGTCCTGAACCTGGTGTTTTATACCAAGCAGCATATGTGTAACATTGTCAAGCTGGAAATCTTTTGATTTTCATTCACCGTCATCAGACAGGATTATCAAATCTTCTGTATTAGATACTATCACACATTTTTTCCAGTCTTCTTTTATCAATGTACTGAGAAAAAAAGAATCAAACTGAAGCTCTCTCTTTTAAAGTCAACAATTTTAACATGCATTCACAAAATCCTCTTAAAATTAAACCCCAGTGATGAAGGATGGAAGGAATATGAAGAGTTTACACTTCTAATCACTCTAAATTCAGACTCACAAAACCATGGCCAACACTGTGAATCAGAGATGAACCTACTGGGTTTTATGAATGGGGGGGTCACAAAAACAGCCGGGATGTCTTGATTTTCAATGTCCTTACTGTTAAAATCATCTTTATTTTTAAGCGCACACAAAACACCATCTTCAGTATCAGTCACTGGTCAGTAGGCACAAAAATGGTGTGTCATTTACTTTCTCTCTCTGAAAATTAAATTGCAAGCTTATTTATCAAGTAGTAAATTGCATAGGAGGGAGCAGGAGCTCCTGGTGTGGCTTGACTCTGAAGACTCACCGCTGGCAGTAGCT